AATTTAACTTAAACAAAATCAAAATGATTGCTCCAGTTAGTCTGAGTCAATAAATATTCATTATTCTTGCATTTTAAGCAACATTTTATTTCTACATTATCAGCCTTTGATCAGTTTGATGTTTGCATTCATGATTATTACAATTCTTAAACTGTAAGCCTACATTTAAACAACTATTTGCATAAAAACATTGCAAAGTTGATGAATTGACCAATTTGCACCTTGATATAGACCTTTAAAGTTAATAAAATGCAAAACAGCATGATCAAATGCTAATTACTATTGGATAAAGTCACTTGCATTCACTAAAATGAGTTCATAACACAAACTAGTTTCAAAATAGCACAAAATTACTAGACCATCTTTCATTAGCAAATTCCCCAAAATCCAAATATGATGAAGAGCCAAAGTCCACCAGCCAAATCAAATATCCCCAAGCTCAATTCCAATATAGAAAAGATAGAAACTAAGAAAATTTCCCTGTTGAAAGATTCATACATACTTCTTCTGACTTGGAGAACATATGTTCGAAGCCAAAATATTCAGGCAGCTTAAGGACAGTCAGACACAACATAAACAGTAACAGATGTGAAGGTTATGTGAAATTAATGCAAAACCATATCTTATGCAAGAAGACATAAGCATATGAATGACATACAGTCCTTCAAGAAAGGACAGAGAGAAAACAGAGAAGAGACGACGAATAGTATATCCTCTGACAAGTCAATCAAAACAGCTCGCGTCAAGGCAGAGAAGCTTTTCTCCTATCAATTAATTGAAAGAGCTCACGCCAGAGTAGAGAAGCTTCCCTCTGGTCAATCAATCAAAATAGCTCCTCACTATGGCAAAGAAGATCAAAACAGAGCTTGTCACTAGGGTAGAGAAGAGAGCTCATCACATACACGAGAAATCGTCAGTAAGGTAGAGAAGAAACTGAGCATTTTAGACTTACTTCAAGAAGGCTGACCCAGAGAAGAGAGCTTGTCACGTCGCACACAAGGAACTCGTTTCGTTCAAGAACGTTGACCCAAAGAAGAGAGCTTATCGTGTCGCACACAGGGAACTCGTTCGATTCAAGAAGGCTGACCCAGAGACGAGAGCTCATTGTATCGCACACAGGGAACTCATTCGGGCAGAGAAGAAATCGAGCATTTTACTTGAAGAAGGGTGTTTTGGTGTTTTCCTATGACATCAAAATACCACTTAAAGACTCAGGGACTTCATTGGCCTTTTACGATTATTTGGGACCTAATTGGTATAAAATTAGTCTTTTGAGACTTGATTGTCATTTTTCCTATCTCTTTCCCTCTTGCATTCTTTCTCTAAAGACTTGATTGTCATTTTCCCTATCTCTTTCCCTCTTGCAGTCTTTCTCTATAATATAATAATGACGGGGCTACTCACTGTTAAGGCTAGTAACTCGGGCAAAACCTGAAGGATCAATCTAAACTCATCTAAAAAAATTAAGATTAAGCTTGATTACATGAATTTTTTAAGATGGTAGAACATTTTAAATCAAATCTGAATAAGCCCGATCAAAATAAGTCTAACTACTAAAAGTTTCAACTCTATAAATTTTAGCCAAGTCGGACAGGTCAGCCTGAACCTGGCTGATAAAAATTAGGGCTGCGCTTGGCTATAGGGTTTTTCTAAGAAGGGAGGATATTTCAAACCCAATTCAAATGAACCCAACCTGGATAAGTTCAGCTCGTCTGAATTATCATCTCTACTCACTTCCTGGTTGATGAAATACTACTCTATCATTATATTTTTAGTGTCCTTGGTATAACATGAAGTTTAAAAGGTGTCTTAAATATAAGATGGAATTTAAAATAATTAATATTTTTAAATTTACTTTTTATATATCTATTATCATTTAAATTTCTAAACAACAATTTGATATAATTATTAATTATTAATATTAATTATAAAAAATTAAAATTAAAAACTACATACTTCCTCTATTAAAAAATAAGACATTTTTAATCGAATCTTACCTTCCATTAAAGTAGTTACTTATCTTCAAATTAATCCTATCTTTTTATATTTACCTATATTTAATAAAGTGTTTTACTCTAAAATAAATATTGATTTATTTAATAGAGACTCTTTTGAAAAAAAAGAGAAATAATTAAATCTTAAAAGACTAAAAATAAAAATACTTTATATAAATATAAAATTTTTAAACGTCCAACTTCTGAAAAAATATCTTACATTTTAAATGAGAGAATATTATTTATTAATTTTAAAATTTTAACTATTATTTTTTAAATAAATACAAAATTTGTTAATTTCATTTTATATTAAGCATTGAAAGAAGTAATAATTAAAACAATCTTCTTTACTTATCATACATGGAACTTATTTTAGATAAATCTATTTTGGAGGAACTCTTTGAGCCGTGTCGTCCATTCAACGCGCCACGTTCTTGTTGTTTCGTGCCGGAGCGAGACTGCGCGGGGTTCGATGAGGCACGAGAGAAACTGAGGCAGCAGGACAAAGAACGAGAAACAAAGAAGGAACATGAATCGGTCATTTACTTTAATGTCCTTGACATAAATTGCAAAATACGTGGGCCACAATAAGTTACTATGCCACGGTCAAATTCGCCGGTCTAACCGGTGATGGAAATATAAATTCAAATTTTAAACTTATGAATAATATTTTTTATTAATAAATAGTTATTAAAAATAAAAAATTAAATAATTAAAATATAAAATATAATCATAATTTAATTTAAATATATTTTAAATATAAATTATTAAAATTAAATTTATCTAATTAATAAATTATCCTACTCAACATAAAAATTTTAAAATAGGGCAATTTATTTTTTGTATTTTTATAAATATTATTTTTTTCTTTTTGAATTTTATTTTTTGTCAAACTGAGTCTTACTGCTTCTATGAACTGAATTTTATATAGTATATATTTAATTCACTCAACTCAATAAAAAATTTAAAAGTATAGCAAAATTAATTAAGTTTGCATATCATCCGAGTTTATAAGTAAGCTAATATAATTTTGTAAGTTAGAAATATAATAATGGTAAACTTGTATAGTTAACTTATTAGTTTGATTTAATCTGAGTTCATGAGTGAATTGACATAATTTTATAAATTAAAAATATAAAAATAATAAATTCAAAAAATTAATTCAAGATCTTGACAGAAAGTTGTTTCAATGTCAAATGCCTTCTTAAAAAACATTTAATTAAATGAACATTCACAATTTTACCACATACAGTATAATAAATTAAACCATGTGCTTTGCAAAGATGGGGTTTAAAATTGCAATATTTGGCATCGAATGTTTTTAACTTTTCCCTTCATTTTGCGTACTGATTATATATTTATATTGATTTACGTTCATGTTGAAGTTTATGGGTAAGAATCAAACGTTGAAGTTTATGGGTAAGAATCAAACACATCTATCATCACTTAATGTATTTGACAATTTAGATATTCTCAAATCCACAAATTTTTTAGGTAGCTTTTGTATTGGTGGATATTGATTTGATTTTTAGATTTCAAATCTTATATTTAAAATTCATGTATTTAAAATTTTTTATTTAGATATTTAAAAATTTTTTAAAATGAAAAAGAAAGATGAGTTGAAATTTTAAAAAATGAAAAATTTGAAATGATGAGTTTTTTTTTGTATTTTTCAATTGATAAGAAATGAAAAAAAAAGACATAAAAAAATTATATAGACATTACTAGTAAAAACATGAAAAGAATGAAAAATTTAAAATGACCAGGTATTTAAATGATTAGGTATAGAAAGAATTTAAAATTATTAAAAAAATATAAAAAAAATGAAATCACATTTCAATCTATAAATTTTTATATATTTAAATGAGGAATTTAATTTAAATTTGAATTAATCCAATCCCACCATTAAAATTTTTTTATTTTTAATAAATAATTTAGATATTTGTCAAGTATAAAGGTACTGCATCCACTTTAAAGTAGGGGGGCATTATATAAAATAATAAATTATTAAATTTCAAATGAGAGAAAGATAATATGCTCTCCTTTTTAAATTATAAGACAAATTTTAAAATAATTTTTATAAAAAATATAATATAATTTAAAAAAATAATGTTTTGTTATTAAAGCTTTTCTAATCTTACAATTCAAGTAAAAAAAAAATTAAAATGATACTGTAGTATAATAATTAAGTAGCATGTAGAGATATTTTTAAAAGCTCATAGATTTATTTTAGAAAAGGTAAGTCTAGAAATTATTATTATTGAGATTTATTAATATATGTAATATTATCTTTAATTGTTTTATAATTTAGGACTGTAAGTAATAAAGAAAATATTAAAAAAAGGAATTTGACAAAAACTATGAACTCAAGATTTTTGTATTTAATTTTAATATTTTTGTCCAATAGTATATGTAGTATTTTTTTTTATAATTTGAATTATAAGATAATTTAAGATAATATTATGCATATTAATAAAACACAATAATAAATTTTTACAATATTTTTTAAAATAAGATTATAAATTTGTAAAAATACTTCTACACACTTAATCAATATCATTTTAATTCTCTCTAATTAAATGATAATATTAAAAAATATTATTAATAAAATTTTATTTTTTAAATTGTTTTATACTCCTTCTGTTAAGTCTTTTGAGGTATAATTATAGTTTTTTTTAAAAATATCCTTATTGATAATAACTTATATTTATTGTGAAGTATTTAATAAGAGTAAATATAAAAAGATAAAATTAATTTAAAAATAAATAATTATTTTATTAAGAAGTGATATTTAATTAAAAATATTTTATATTTTTAAACAATACAGAATATTTTGAAAAAAATGAAATTCTTTCAACATTGTTTTATAATTTTATAACTGCTCAGTGCTTCCTACATCTCTCTCTCTAGGACCATAATCATGCGCTTGAGTCTCTCCTCCTAAAACGCCCCCAACAAATGCCCAGGCCTAACCTGTCCTATTCACTCATTCGCAATCCACTTAAACCCCTCCCCCTCCCCTGGGCGCATGCTCTTCATCTTCCTCTCTTCTTGTTCTCTCTGTTTCCAGAACGCCCGCAGGAACCAACAGTCACTGAAAAGTTGAAGCTCGGCATATCAATTTCTTCTCTTCTCAATTTCTCAATGACAGGTACTCTACACACACATCAATACACGAATCGATTCTTTCTGGTCTTCACCTTTCTGTACTGATTAATCTGTTAATTGATTTCAGAGCGAATCGGGTAATCGGTGGGATACAAAATGCTCAGATGGATTATTCCGATCTGCCTCTGCCTGCTGCTTCAGCAATGGCTCATCAATCTGTCTTCCCGTTTTACCAATCCACTCTCTGTGATCCGAGTTCTGCTAAAACCTCCATGAACAAGGACGATAGTGGCCTCACCTACAATTTCTCGTCGTCAAGAAAGCGATCCAGGGACCAGTTAACCATTGAAATCAACGATACTAGCAACACCAAATTGCCTTCTGCTAATTCGTGGCCATTTCTCGATCAGGACCTTCTTCCTCACATCCACAACCAGCAATCCGAAATCGACCTCCTCATTGCCCAACATGTAATTGATTAATCTCGATGTTCTGTTCTTTGTTTTTTTTTTTTCCTGAAACGACGAATCGATTAATTAGTTTCTGGAATTAACGTGTGGTCTTGTGATTTTGGAAACAGGCCGACAATGTGAGGATGGAGTTAGAGGAACAGAGAATGAGACAATTGACAGTGTTGCATTCAGCAATCCAAGAAGTGATGATGAAGAAACTGAAAGAAAAAGACGAAGAGATTCAGAAAATTAGAAAGCTGAATTGGGTTCTTCAAGAAAGAGTCAAAATCCTAACCCAAGAGAACCAAATATGGAAGGAATTGGCGGAAAGCAATGAATCAACCGCCAATTCACTGCGCTGCAACTTGGAACAGGTGCTGGCGGCGCACGTTAGCGAGGGCCAACACCACCACACTGTCACAGCGGCAGCGGAGGTGGATGATGTCAAGTCGTGCTGCAGAAGCAATGGTGAAGGACAGTGGACGGCGGAGGCCGGGAAGGACACGGCCAGCGGCAGAAGAAGTTGTGAGACGTTGTGTGGCAATTGTGGTGTGAGGGAATCAATATTGTTGCTACCATGCAGGCGTGTGAGTTTGTGTACAAGGGTGGGTCCAGGAGTCACAATTGCCCGGTATGTCACTCAGCAACTAATGGTAGCGTGCATGTTAATTTCTGTTAGGAATTTATTTATTTATGTGGTTTTGTATTAAAAAAAAACTTTTCTTTTCGTTTTTAACAGTTATATAATTAGAGAGAAATAACTTTTTTTTTCAATTTTTTTAATATGTTCATGGAACAAAGTTAGAAATAGACAAAATATACTATTAATTTGAATTTTTTTGTCACATTGATATTAATTGTTTTATTCTTTATGTTTCTATTCATGATATTTGTATAATTATTTATCAATATTATTCTTTAAAAATTAATATGTTGAAGTTAGAGATATCTAAGTAAGTTTATTCAAGCAATTAATGCTGGAATGAGATTCTGATTTCCCCTAATACAGGGAAAAAAGGTGCTATAAGAGTAGACAAGATGCCATGTATTTGTTGTCCTTCTAGCATTTCAAAGGTCTTTGAGTAATTTGATCATTCTAATTTGCAAATAAACTAGTATCCTGCCCCGTGAGATACACAAGTAAAATATTATCTAATTAGATTAGTTTTTGTGTGTCTTCAAAGTTACTTTTTTGTAGGATAAATTATGCTGTAGAGCATTATCATTGTTACATATTATGTATTTGAAACCAACAATGTTAATGTGTTTAGTTACTTTTACCGAGTGTGATCATTAGGTTAATTATATTAATTTGTGACCACTTGAATAAATAATAAATGTGAATGACATAATCATAATATTTTTTATGGAAAAATACAAACCTTAGGCAAAAATTTAAGCAAATAATGGTTTAAGGTATAGTACAAAAAACAACTATAATTCATTTTCAATGTTCCTAATTAAACATATCTAGAAATACAACATTAGTCATTTTTTAAGACACCTTGTTACTTTTGTCATGGATTAATATCTTAAGGCATTCTGTATGTAAATTTATTGGCATCTGACCAAACTAATCATATGTACGAAGGAACTTGCAATGGTTAATGTCTTATTTTATTAATAAAGTATTAAGTGAGTTATTCAATATCTTTAGACTATTTAGGCCCAAAAGAAAAAATATATTTAGACTATAATTATCTAGTAAAATATTAAAGGAGCATAAAAACAAACAAACAGATTTATGTATGTTATTTTGTAATTTAATGTTCTGAAAAATATAACTTCCTCCCCATGCCAAGAAACAAAAATCCATGCTTAGTAAATAAAATATTTTGTAAATTCAAAGCATTCATTAATTTCTCTTAATGACATAATTCATATTATAATTTTTTTAGTTAATGATTGATCATGTCTTATAAAATTGTAATTGTTTATTGTTATAAAATTATTATGAGTTATAACTGATAAGTGATTACAAAAAAAATATTTAGTGGCTGATTTTTTTTTATCATGAAAATTAGCACCGTAACTTTAAAGATAATAATAAAAAAAGGAAATTGAGAAAAGTGATGTATAAAACATTATAAAACAAAACATACAAACTATTGTTAAGAACTATTTTCTTAAAAAAAAAATATCAAATATGATAACATAACTAACAATTAAATAAAAATTGTTTCATTACCTTTTTGATAATATGGCCTTTACAACGTAATTTTTAACCAACAAATCAATATGACAAATTTTAGATAAATCAAATATAAATCCCACTAATTTATTAGAAGAGGAGCACATCATATATAAATCAAGCAAATGAGATTAGTAACAATGATTGATCATTCCGTTCATGCGGATTGGGAGTGGTTCTCTACAACTAATAGTTAGGCATTAAATTAATAATTTATACAACATCAAAGCATTAAAATGTCATCTATTTTTTTTAAGTAAATCAATATATAAATCTATATATAATAAAACAAAATAGTTAAAAAAATTAAAAAGTTTAACATCCAACCAGATTCAAGGTAAAGAATGTGGTTGGGAAGAGAAAATTAACACCACTACAAATCCAAAAGGAAAAGAAAGAGACCAATTGATAAGCATTAAAGATAAATGCCCTTTCTTTAAGAATAAAATAATCATCCACAAATGCCCTTTTCTAGGAGTGACATAAGGACCATCTTACAAATAATTGTGTTGCAGCTGCCGTGAAGATAAATGATCTAGGAATAAAAAAAATATGGTAATTACACTTTCAATGAAAAGAAAACCGACCATTAAAAATATAATATCAACAATTAAAATTGAAGTTTGAATTATAAAGAAGGCCATGACACATTTTAATGACTCATGAAGGAGGCTAAACACACCTGCTCTGCCTTCAGCAAAGTCGAGTCAGTCTTCCAAGATTTTCAAGACAAAACGTTATCAACAGTTGCCCCTTTTCTCATGTTGGTTAGTTGGCTGGTTTTTATGTGCATAACCATTGGAGTGTGGTAAACACAAAGCTTTATTTTGCGAGGCTTCTCGTTATAGAGATGAGAAAATGCAATTTCGTACTCTGTTCCTTAGAGGTGACCTTATAATGAGTTTATTGGTGTCACTAAACGTATTCCAGTCCTCATCTCCCTTCTCCGTGTCATGGTTAAGGGGCTCAAACTTAGGACCACCTCCAGGATGAACAAAAGAAAATTTCATCCCTGACTTTGACCTTATACAAAAACATATATGCTTTGCCTCTCCAATTTTTTTTTTTTTTTTTTTTTACATTATAGAGAACCAAGATAGATTAATTTTATAAACAAAGACGTCTTTTCTGTCTTACAAAATTCAGTAGAATGTGCATAGCTTCCTTGCTTCAAAATTACCAAGTTATAAGCTTGCTGAGTTCTTAACCTTGGTAATCAGATAAAAAAATTATCCCGTATTAATATCAAAATAATCAAATTTTAACAGAACTATTAACATTTTTAACTATATATAACAATAAAAAACCACATATCAGGTATGCACATGTTCAATGCATTTGTTGTAAAGGATAACCCCATGTCAAACAAATAGAAATAATTTCGATCAATTAAATCAGACAAAAGTAGTCCTGTAAGCTGATGCAGGGTTGCCATTATTGGAAGGGAAAGTTGCCATTTCAGATATCTAGGGCCGTCTATGAGCTTTGTTTTCACGAGAGGTTTATGATCATAAAACCAAGTATATACAGTAGAATCTTCCTCTTCATCCAATTCCATCTGAATCGGCTCTAGAGGATCAACGTCTGGCAAATTATCAGCATAATCTAAAGGAGGCTCCCTATCATTAAATGGGGGGGAAATGGCATCCTCTTGAAATGACATCGATCCCTCTTCTCTCTTCTCATCATGATCTACATAGTACCCAACTATAAAATATTTAAACGTTAGAATTATGCTGAAGAAGAAAAGGTAAGGACACATCTATGACTCTATGTTTATAGGGAAAACAACATACTTGTGCCGACGAGGAGGTCTACGGAAAGCTTTTAGTGGTCATCGAGGAAAGCCTCTTTGGCTTTGGCTTCGAGATCAGAAGCCATGGGAAGGCAAGAGTGGTGGGAGAAGGAGTAGAAAAGTGTAGAAAGGAAACGAGAGAGAGGCAGAGAATGAGTGGAATACAAATCAACATGCATACTAAGGCAGATTACTCGACCCAAAACTTGTAGGCCATGAATGAATAAGGACAACTTGACATGCAAACTAACACCACATGCTAACCGAGGGAACACACGGGAGAAAAAAGTTTGAAACCCTACCTTGCCAGCTAGGGATTCCCAAAGAAAAGAAATTATTTTTGGCAACTGACTACATGAAGTTTTGATTAAAAAAATGGGGCCATTTTTGGTATTCACTATTCAAGTACTATTCATGGTTCACCAACTTTTATATATAAGATTGATAATACTAGGGGAAAATTTCAATGAGGACCTTAGACCAAAGATAATGAAAAAGAAGACCCCCAAATATCTTATATCTCATTGCAAGCCTTGGGTCCTCATTTGATATTAATTTGGAAAGCCAAATGACAAAGTTGCCCTCAACGGAGAGAGCAAAGAAAAGCTAAAAGCTTATGGTGGAAGAGACGGAGCACGAGAATTCCTTGTTCCTCTCACTTTCCCTCTCTCTCGCCTTCTTCAACATCATGAGAACTTGGCAAGTTAAATAAACTATACTTTGATTCTATTCTTTTATCTCTATGAAAGTATAGTTGATTTGGGATTGGGAATACAAGTAGATACGATCGGGTAAGACATGTCTTCTCTCCCTTTGACCTGTCTTCTTTCCTCCTATCTATTTTGTAGCTCGTTTTGTGGTTGGGAACAAGATTAAATATGATCGGGTGGTATGGCTTCATTATTAAGAACTGCCCTTGATATTCATAAATGCTCTACTTCATTACATTAAATGATAGGTGGTTGGAACACTGTAAATGTATATTTTGTTTAACTATTGTTGTGACCTTTTTTCCTTAGTTGAAGTTTCTTATGTTGTTCCTTTTGTATTGTTGTTGTAAATATGCTTACTGTACTTGTTTACGTTTCAAATATAAAGTGCTCCTAAGTAATTAAATTTGAATGTATACATGTGCAGAGACTCATCATAAATAGGTAGTTGTTAAGAGAAGCGGCTATATTACATCTTCCATGTAAAGGAGGGATTTAAAAGTGTAGGTGAAAATGTTATTTATGAGGATGGTGTTGTAGTTGGAAGATGGATAACTAAAGGGGTGACGTATGAAGGAGTCATAAGTATGTAGCAAATGATCTATGGCCTGAATGTAAGGATTTTTGCATGAAGTACAAAGTCATTCCATTTGGAGATACATTATTAGATCTTGTAGATGATGCTAGAGTAGATCAACTAATCGAGGAGAACAACACCAATGGTCATGTGTATGTTGCACAAACATCACAATTGGAGTTCTAAGAAGAGTAAGTTATCAAATTTAATGAACTTATTAATTTCCCTTTTAGTTGACATACACTGTTAATTTCCTTCGTACTTTATTAATACAGCATAATGGAGTCATTAGGACTTAGGGAGGGAAGTTAATTGAGTCCTCCCAATTTTGTGACACCAAGCACTCCTTTTCCCTTACCCTTACAAAGCATGTCAATGTGCATTCAGAGCTCGCAAAGATTGTGTAATATAGAAAGCTTAAGGAAATAGAGTTTGCCTCCACTAATCCTTGAGATGAATGCTTCA